TCTGACCTCATGTGTATCACTAATTCATTCACAGTGAAGACTTCAGTTTAACATGCATTAGGAGTACTGTTGATTAAAAGCAAGCTAGCTGGCGTTGGTTCATAGCACATATTCTCCACAGCCTGGATGCTGCTGTGGTTGTTGATCTCATGTCATTAAAGTTAAGTACTGACAGTGCACTTCATGTAAACTTGGCTACTTATCACTGATGAATACTAATGCACTGAAAATAGCAAGTCTAAGTAGAAGGTGCATGATGAGTCTACAGCCATGTTAGTATGCTGTTAGCATGGAAGCAGGTGTAATGTTCAATATGCTGACAATCTGACTGTTATTGCTTGTTTCACCATGTATATATTTAATACCAGCAGCTAATGGGAATGTCATCATTTATATAAGAATTAACTCATTAAGAAAAGATTTAAAATATTAAAAGTTACCAATTCATCATGCAGTGTATCCAAAGCTCTCAAGACCTTTTACTAACAATGTCATCCTGGTGATGGCTCTACAGAATAAGTTGCAGGATTGCTAAAAAACTATAACTGAGGACCATGAATGTCTAATATTTACTGAGATATACAGAACTGTGCAAAGGTTTTGAGTCAACCCGTATGTCTTTATGCTTTGCTTCCAAGGAGCCAGACTTTCTTGTATTTTTAAAGTGGCCTTGAGCAGTACTTTTCCAGGATTTTTGAAGGTCTTTGCTTTTTTGAAGGTTTTTTGAAGGTTTTTGAAGGTCTTTGCTTTTTCACTCACCCAGGTCATACGAATAAGTTAAGCCATTTAACACTGACCTATGAATCACTTAAACATAAAGGGGAACCTAACAGAAGGTTTGACGGACATAAAACATTATTTTTGCATTTACAAGATGTTTCTGACGGAGTTACTGCTGAAAACTTTGCATATCACAGCATGGTGTGTTTAAAAAAGTCTTAAAAAGTTAAAAAGTATGTCCTTAGGAAAGAATCCAGCAAAGACCTGACACAGAACATGAGACATGCATCTCGATTTTCAATTGTTCCGTCTACTGTTTGCTGAAGCCAGTGATGCTGGTTTGTAATATTTGATGAAATTATTAATGCAGAAGGGTACCACGAGATTTTGATCCACCATTGAATAACATCTGGAAACCATCTGATTCACAGCAGCTTCATTTTTCAGACTCACAGTGATCCTAAATACTCTGCAAATACAGTAGAAGCATAACTGGATAGAGAAACACATAGTGGCAAACTGTTGGTCATAGATTGGCCTCTTTAGAACCCGGACATCGATATTTTTTAAAGTGGCGTTGTGTTGACAGAGAACAGAACAAAAAGCACCCAACATACAAAGAAGAACTTTGAAAATCCTTCACGAAAACTCGAGAACTATTCCTGAAGACTACTAAAGAAATTACAAGGTTGTTTGCATAACAAAGTTCAATTGTATTGTCACATTACAATAAATCACTGCACCCATTTCCCATTATAGCAAAATTACAAGAACTACGAGGTGATTCGAGAGGTTCTGAATTAGCCATTGGGCCATTATGATGTTTAGAACCACCAATATGATCTAAAACACAGAAAGGACTAAATCGAGCAGTGACGCTCACTGTTAGATGTTCACATGACCAGTTCCTGAATCTAAAATGTCTTATAACATTCAAACAGTCTTGTAGCTTGACATATAGGCTTTACTTCAATCCTGGGCAATCACCCAAGTGTGCGTTTTTTGTGTTTACTTTCATTACTCTTGCTTTGGGGACATACAGTTGCAACTTTCTTTTAGTTTGAAAAAGCATGTCCCAAAACAGAAATAATCAAATTTTATCATGAAGGCATGTTTTAAGACTGAGGGTTATGGTGGGGATTAAGGTAAGTCTCCAGGAAAATAGTGAGAGTCAGTGCAATGCCCTTTGAAGTGATGGAAACACAACTGCACGTGTGCGTGTAAGGAGCAGGTGGGTCAGGTAAGGCTGTGTCTAAACATGCCATGTGCCCTGAAGTCTTGTTGCATCACTGGACATAAAGGGTCAGGCTTAATCTCCCCTCTGATTATTTTCTTCCCTCTGTTCAGCTACAATACATGACCCCTCCTCATCTACCCTGCCCGCTTTTCTTTTTATTAACCCTACTCTCAAAAGGGGAAAAAAATAAAATAAATAAATCAGTAAGATATACTGAATTTTCTCCAAACTCTAAGCAGACTTTGAGGCTGTGGGAGTGTTTTTGAGGGGTGGAAACATATCAGCATTACAATCACACACAGCTGTTTGTATTCTGTTTTGGGAGCCACAAAGGAAGGGTTCATGAAAGAGAGAGATTGACAGGACAGGACAAGCTTTGCCGCAGCTATGGCATCTTATTAAGATATTTATACTACTGATCCTAATGAAGAATCACTATTATATTATATTACACAGTCCTGTGGAACGGGATGTTTTCACAGGACTATGCAGTCCTGTTAAAAACTGAGCTCATCCCGTACTGCTTCCATGGGAATTAAGAGAGTGAGTAGCAGCCAGGCACTGCTAATCAAATGCACTTGATTAAGTGATCATCAGCAAGCATGACCAGCTCTATGAAAGCAGAAGTTTTGGCAGTTTGCTGGTCTTCAGGTTTGTGTTACCACAATGCTGCAATCTTTCCATGACTGGACATCCCAGCAAATGAACCCCAAGGTCAGAGCGTGCGATGCTCAGAGAAACAGCAAAAACCGAAGAGCTGCATCTCAGACTCTGCAGGCCTCAGTTAGCGTGTTAAATGTTAAAGTTCATGACAGTACAATTAGGAAACGACTGAATAACTATGACTTGTTTGGAAAGATTTCCACAAGAAAGTCTCTTCTCTGTAAAAATAACACGACAGGCCAACTTAGGTTTGCAAAGTTTCGCCTGAACAAACAACAAGACCCCTGGAACGATGTCCTCTGGACAGACGAGCCCGGAGAGGAAATGTTTGATCATAATGTACAAAACCAAATCCAGCATCATACCAGCTGTCAACCACGGTGGTGGAGGGGTGATGATTTGGGCTTGTGTTGCAGCCAGAGGACCTGGGGATACCTTCTCACTGAGTTGACTGTGTATAGCAAAGTATTCTAAAGCAACAGGATTTCACAGAGTCCTGTGAAAAATCTTTGATATGACAATTTATGCCTTATCCAGGAATGTGTGTAATAGACTGGTGACCTGTCCAGGGTGTACCCTGCCTTTTGTCCTGTGCCAGCTGGGATAGGCTCCACTAACCCTGGGACTCTGAAAGGGAAAACTGGTTAAGAAAATGGATGTGTATTCCTAATCTGAGAGTGTAACTCCAGTAAGGAGTATTTCCAGTAAGGAAATCAGCAGTAAGATTACCCCATGAAGTCAAATGTTTATATTCTCCCACCCAAAAAGTAAATCAACATAAATGTTAACTGAAATAATAAAATGAAGAAAAAAATAAAGGTGGTATTTGACAGTTTCATCTTTGGCAGAAACATGAAAAGGAGATTGTTCAAAAGCAACCAGCAATTTATATGTCCTGGGCGCTGGAGGAGACTTGAAGGCTTAAAGGTCTGAGATGTGAAATGGCAGTCAATTGATTGTATTCTAGAGAATTATATAGATGGTATTTGTTTCAAAATCCCTCTGTTATATTCCTGTTACAGTGAATAATAACTTAAATATCTAAAAGTTACAACAAAACATTTTAATCTTAGTGATAGTTCTTTTACATAGTGGCTGCTGGATGGGTTAACAGCTGATCAATGTCGCTGAGCTGACTGTACAGTTATATATATATGTGCTGGGGGTAGTTTGGCAAAACAGTGATATTACTGGAAATCACCAGTCCACACAGCTTATCTATTGCTGGCTAGAAACATTGTGAAATACAATTAGCAGATAAATGTATCAGATAATGTCGAGTAAACAAAGTCCTTTCTGAGTAAATATTACAGAACTTCATACGTATGGTTATTTTGTTCCTGTTACAGTAACTGATCAGTACCTATTATGAGTATTGTCGTTACTCAGTAAATATCTAAATATGCAAATACGTGCTGGTCTCCCTTCAGAGTTTCTGAAAATTTAATATTAGAGCTGAAACGTTTGCATAAGCTTCAGTGTCACGTAATTCCTGTAGTCTTTAATTTAGAGCTACTTGTTGCTATTGACACTGAAACTAACTTTTTTTTTTGGTGGATAAAAACAAATCAGTTCAAATCCATGTCAGCTGCTCATCTTGTGCAGTCACAATTATGAGACAGATATAATGAGAGGATTTTTAAGCAGTTCTTCATCCATCCATATAGAAATCCAGGGCTCAGAAGTTGTTTCTAAATTTTCCACATTAGTTTTCAGTCTGAGGCTCGGTCGCCTCCCTGAAGCCAGCTAAATAAAGCATCAGGTGACCGGGACACTGCAGTGAAAAAGAGAGTCTCCTTCCGAGGTCAAACTGTTGCTGTTTGATTGACGGCCAGCTGGAAACCTGCTGCTACCTTGAGGGAAAACGCAATGCGTGGATGTTTTGTATTTGTCTGAGAGAGCAAGAGAGAGAGAGAGAGAGTGAGAGAGAGTGAGAGAGCACGTCTGCTGCTGCGTCTGTTCTCTCTCTCCCTATCACACACTCTCGGGAGCAGCGCTTTGACGCACCACGCAGAGTTGGATTATAGTATTGCGCGCTGGTCTTTCACGATTTTCTGTCCCTCGCGTTACCCTCACCGCTGACCGGCAGTTGATATATTATCGGGATCAATATCTCTCCGCCACGGTGACCTCTGCTGAGCTTTTCTTTTCTTTTTCTTTTTTTTGGGGGGGAGAAAGAAGAGCAGCCGCGGCTTCCTCGCAGGACGCGTGTTGTGAATTACAACCAACAGAGCCTTACCTGGAGAGAGAGAGAGAGAGAGAGTGTGTGTGTGTGTGTGTGTGTGTGTGTGTGTGTGTGTGTGTGTGTGTGTGTGTGTGTGTGTGTGTGTGTGTGTG